AAGAAAAATAGCCTGAGGGGCCAATGAGAACTCAAAATAAGCAAACTGCATAAAGCGCGGGAAAACGATGGCGACCAAGTCGTGATTGGTGTTAGTTTTGTACCTGATTGGATGAGAGAGTGGTGCGAGTTTTCTGGACCAATCACGAAGCAAAGCAAAACCAAAGCAATACCAAAGTATTTTGGACTCTCAGTAAAAGTTTCTCAAAATACATATTATGCTTTTTATTCAGTCATTAACTTACTTTTTCCAACTCTTTGTCTTTTCAGCAAGTGATTGAAGACCAAAAGAGTTTGATTAGTTTTTACTCTCTTCTAACGGGAATTTCAATGTCACGAGAGAACACTTGTGAAGATACAAGCTCCTTTCACAGCTTCAATTGCACTTTCTTTCCAGCCGAGAAAACAGCTCATCGTAAGTGTGATCTGTTATGAACTTTGCTTTAAATGGCCCCAGTAGAAGGTTTAGCCTCAGGGTGAAACACATTTGGTGGTTTGCCTTTTTTGAAACACATTTCTTCATTCGAAAACACAAAACCATGTTTTACCAACAATAAAGGGGGTAAGTTTCTAAAGAAACTGTCAGTAGTGCTGCGTCTGTGGGAGAGTATAACAGGGTAATTTAGTATTATCAACGTTACTGAGTTGATAACGTAATTTTGCCACCGTAAAGAGTTTAAAAGCTGATGTTTCCAGCTTCAGCCCTTCGTGATAGCGATAGACGGAGGGCTAACGCTCGAAACGTCAGCCTTTTAACTCTACTGTGGCCAATTTACGTTATCAACTCGGTTGATAATACCAAATTACCCTGTTTTACTAACAATACATGACTTGACGTAAGATACGAAATTTACTATTATATAATAAGCTGAATTCAGGATGTTTTTTTTGTTTTGAGGAAGTGTAGATCGAAAATGGCACTGACTTTTCGCTACTGTTACCTCACCGCCAGTCAATTTTTTTTCAACACCGTTTAGAACAAGCGAGGTGTTTCTAAACAGAAAGTGACGTCACATCTCACGTTCTTTTTCCTCTCGCTCCCAGTGTCCTCTATCTTGTTCTCTCCAATAAGCACGACATTGGACCCGAAGTTGCTATTAGCTCCCAAGCCCCTCCTTCTTTGAAAACTTATAACTAGCGTCCGGAAGGATAAGTCTTACCCTCTAAGTAATTCACTAATTGCCTTAAAATGTTCTTCCTGATAAAATTGTCCTTATACTAATCTCGTACGTAGATCCTGCCGTGTACGTGTACTGTATTTGGCCGTGGAAGGTCTGGGTACGAGGCTATTGTTATATACCAAATGTGTTAGTATGTTATACACATTCCAACCTTTTTCTTGTTTCCCACTGACAGATTTGCAGTTTAGGCTGACTCACGACACAGAATTTGATGAGATTGAATACAGTCCTAACCCAAAGAGCCCTGGTTCCGAAGATATTCTGTTGAACTTGCCCAATTATCTCCAGGATAATATGTTTTTCGGTTCTGATCAGGCTACGAATTTTATGGAAAAATTGTTTAAGACAGTTAAGGGGTAGCAGTATAATAGAACTTTAGTTATTTACCAGTTTAGTAACCTGCAAGCAGGCCCTTCGTTTTAAGTGCTTCGGTTCGAGCGTTTCTTCGACCGCGGGAAATTTTGGTGTACTCTCCCCAACTCAATCATCTCAAATCTTTCCGCGGGCGCAAAATTGCGCGTCCTGCAGCGCTTATGATTAGGGCTCTGGTCGCAGGCTACCGGTTTAGTAAGTTTAGAGTAGTTATTAGGGTTTTTAAACTTTCTTTTGATTTATAAAATTAATCCAAGAAACTGTTCATGTGAAGGATCTGAGAGCAAATCTTCCAATCACTTTGGAACACTTTGGGGGGGGTGTCGGTCAATTGGAGGATTTTATTGTGTCACAGTAAAATTTACCTGATCCCCACCAGTGGCTCTGTAATATTCTAATGATACCCCCTCATTGGTAGTCAATTTTTTTCTTTAGTCTTGCCTCTATACTCTGTTGTCGAGGACTGATCTCCCCCCCCCCCCCCAGAAAAAAAATCCTTCCTTCCCTTCCTTTGCCGCAACTGATGACAGGCCTTTTGTTATTTACCAGTTTAGGGTAGCTATTAAGTTTTTAAACTGTCTTTTGTCCGATGCAACTGATCCAGGAAACTGTTCTCAGTGCCGCAAATTAAGATTCTGACAGTATGTAGAATTTTTCTTTCGTTTAGAGTAACACCTTCTTCCCTTTATAAAGGTAGTACTTAGTAAGTATACTTTGAGGGAGAAATTAGCAAAATTCTTAGGATTTTCATTTTCTTCAAAACTTGAATTATTTTCTTTACAAAACCATCTCAGCAACTTAATATCGATTACATTTTTACGATGCTGGAAACTTAGTTAGCCTCTTACGGGCACATGTGGCATTCTTCTGACTTTTTCGATACTTAAAATATTCGATTCTTTACCTCTCAGTTGCATATGTTTTATTTTTAAGCGATCGTTTTTTTGGTAGTTGTTATTGCTTTTTTTAACTTTACAAATATTTTAATGAAATTGTAAAGTTGATATCTCCATGGTCAGTCAAATCTGGTCAGTTAATAATCCGAGTAATCATAATCCAGCCCGCTCTTTTCCCTTTCTTTTGCTCTTTGCATGTCTCACTGGTGGAAGAGTGAGACTCCTGTAGCCACCAGGTCCGTTTTGTTTGTATTTGTTTCTTTATTTTTTGTTGTATTTAACGTTCAATTGGAACCAAGTATGCTCTGTATGAAAATATGTACTATTTAAAATGGCTACTTTAATCACTTTGCCTGGCAGTATGGCCATTTAGCTGGCCAAAATGGTGACTTTGAGGATTACTTAATTGCTCAGACTGTTTTGTGATTTTATTCATATTTTTTTCGTTCTCAATGCTTTCCAAATTAAGGATAATAGTAGTACAGTTGATGTTCTTAGGCTTAAATTTGTTTTGGGGTCTTTTCTTTTGGGTTAGGCCTCATACACTTTAATACCCGCGAACATAAAATATGTTATATTTTAACTCATTTACCTGAACCACGGTGTATAATTAAATAAACGGGTATATTTTGATTATAGTGGGAGTGCCTGTTCCACACGCTTTGTTTCACATCTCTTTCATAATCCGCTTACCCTTGCCCTGTAGGCCTACAACTGCTTACAAATGGGCTTAGGATATTTCAAAAGGAATCATAGACAATTGGTGCAATTTTTTTCTGAGATATGTAAAATGACGTTCGAAAATGAAAATTGAGTTTAGTCTTCCCCTCGTGACTAAAACTTCCTCGAATATTTTTTCCTATCAAGCTGTAAGTAGCGAAAAATTATACAAAATAGTAAGCGTTTGTGCCTAGCGATGCATGTTCTGTATCAACCAAGAAAATTTTTCTTCTGCCATGTTACTTTTCCCAAAAATTTTAACACTTTTTTGCCCTCTGGGTCAGTTTTTTTCATCCGTCAATTAAGGCAGCTTGAAGCGAATTATTTTTATTTTCAATATTGGCCAGAGTTTCTTTTAATTTTTGAATTATGCTTTGATCGATTAAAATTTTAGGTTGATATTGGGTTTTTATCTCAGCTTCCTCAAGTCATGGAAAATTGAACATAGAAGCCGAGGAAAATTGATGAAATCATGCATCTCATGCTGTACATCGTTTTTAATTTTTCCCCACCAGCGGTGCGTCAGACAGTTTTAATTAATATTGGAAGGATTGTTTGAATATTCCTGTTTCTATAAAGCCTTCCCTAACCTTGCAATTCCCTTTGGCAACTCGAAAACAGTAATCAAAGTCTAAAGTGTTTGTTTCTTACAAATCATCGACGATCGATCGACGGATAATCGCGCACAACTATTAATAATTTATTAATCTTATATTTTGAGCATAAACACCAAGATGGCGGCTGGTGTTCTGGCGACGTCTGTGAATTATTCTTCTTCACAGTCGTCGGCTGCTCCTTTAAGCCGATCCCAAATTGGAGGTTATGATGCAGATTTTGTAAGCCCCATATCTGCTGATTACTTATGTCCTATCTGTCAGCTTGCTTTTCGTGATCCTGTTCAAACCAGAGACTGCGGCCATCGATTCTGCGAGTCTTGTTTGGAACCAATTTTACGGTAAGTAATGAGGGAATGTCTTTCTGTTCTGAAACAAAAGAGTTGTTCCTCAAAATCCATTTAATTTCTGTTACAGAAAACCTCCAGCGTTTTGCCCGATCGATCGAAGAACTTTAACAAGGGAAAAGGTAAGAGATGTTAGCTCATCTCGTAGAAAATATTTTATTTTGTACTTCAAATCTGGCAAGGCAAGGACGAGTCGTTCCTCTGTTAAACATATGTTTGTAATCGAAGCTATGGTATGTAATCTATGAAATATCCACAGTTTTTCTCCTTTCTCTACACTTTGGCCTCATAGTAGGGAAAAAGTAAAGGACTCAAAAGGTTTGTTTTACGGAAGAAAAATCTTAAAATCACGGCTCTTTTATTCAATGTGTCCAAGGTCAGGGCGATCTTGAATCCACAGCGTCGAATTTCCGACGCTCAATAACGCTCATATTTTGTTAAGGATGATATATGTTTAGGGGCACTGAAAGGCAGTAAACGAGGTTCCTATTTCCCATTATTTGGACTTTTTGACGCTTAAGGATCGAATTTTAAATCCCAAATTGCTTCTTGTGATCGTTTTAATAAATTTCCACCTTCTAGGATCAGTGTAATAGATATGATAACCCTACAGGCCTATGTTTAAGGTCTGCGATCTTTCATTAGTGGAACGTACTTGCACCGATAAACAAGAACAAAAGTATGTCCGAGGTCACATAAGTGATTACAAATGATTACAGTAAAGGCTGTAGGAGATATATCATTGAAGCACAAAATTTTAACCGCACAGTTTTAATTTGAATTTTCCTTTTCGCGTGACTGAATTAACACAATTTCTGAGTGAAAAATTAGCCTTTGTGGTCTACCTCGCCGTCGTCTCATCTCATAATTGCTTTAACAATACAATTTCCTTTTTAATTTTTCTTTTGCCTTCATTATTCTGTGGTATTGAGAGCCAAATCAAACAATGTAATCTTTTATTTGCTCAAAAGCGTTGCGAAAGAAAGTAAGAGGTCATAGATATGACGTGAAACTTCTTAACCTTAACGAATTTTAACCCGACAAAGACTGTTCTATCTTTCATTCACTGTATTGTTTCGGGTTAAGCAAAGTCAGGATGATTTATTTCTATACATTTTGAATTTTTCTCAATGCAAGTAGATCTTTAATTTTTCGTGTTTCGTGTTTCTCGTTAGGGGTAATATTGATTTCAGAGATGTCCAAGTGTGTTAATTAGTTAATCGAATCACAACTTACAGTTAGGCTGCAGGAATTTTGGCAAAATGACAGTTTTAAATGTAAAGATTGCCCTTTTTAAATTTTTCAGAAGTAAAATGATTTTCAATCATATAGCCAAAAAACAGGAAAATTTATGAAACTCATAATTGTAATTATTATCTTTTTTTTTTAATTTGCTTTGAACTTTTGGTCAATTTGTCAGCCTACAGGATAGATTCTGCTATCATCAGAACGTTCTGATTTTTGAACAAACTGCTTTCAGTCTCTAAATACCTTACTCAATGTGGAATCTTATCATCTTTATCCAGCAGTGTCTCCAAGCAGTTGGTGTCTCCTGGGTCATTCCCTTGGGGATTTTCACAAAATTATTGTCCATCTGTCTCTGCTGTGGTACCAACTCCTCACACTGCCAAAGACATTACTGACCACACCCATCCTAGGTCCAAGGATCTCTCTTCTTCCCCGTGAGAGAGTAGCACGACCACACTTTGATGGAATCTTTTTTCTTTACATGGTCTTTGTTCACTTTTTCTTCCTTCTACTCTCTCCCATTTTATCTCCCATGAGTTTTTCATTGATCCGATACCAAATTCTTGTAACCAACATCAAAAGGATTGTATAACAGATGGTAAAGAGCATTACTACTGAGATCTTGTTAAAAATTTTGACCTTGATTAATTATTTCTTCGTTATTATTTTTTATAAACCTCATCAGTTTTGTAGTGAGAAAAGAATTGTGTTGAAGACTTCGGTGGTAACTTCATCATGAAAGCCTAAGTAAGGCTAAGTCTAAGGTTTAGGCCCAAAGAAAAATATTTTTGAACTCTCAAGGAAGTGCATTGTTGGACATTGCCTTCAGTTCTGAAGAATGATTTTGATTGTAAGAAAGACGTTGTACTCATTCTAACAGCATTTTTTCATCTGCTTGTAATTAGAATAGAAAAAGCCAGAATATCTCTTTATACCATGGAGCTATGTTTTTTCCCCTGGATTAACTATGGTTTTTTATAATAATATTGTAACTATGTGAAACCTATCTCTTTACTCTTTAGTTTTCAATCATTTCTCTGATATATGTATATAAACATTATAGATATAGTTAGAGCATTCTTGGCTCATGTTTATTGTAAGGATGCTCTGTAATTTCTCTAAATAGACCACCCTTAATAATACAGATGTACATGTGGAGCTTGTCTGATATGTATTTTTTTGATAGCAGTGTCTACCTATCCATTGGCATGGCACTCAAAAATTCTTCAACCATTTTTACCGATCAGTTCCACAATGTGTTAGTAAATCTCATGCCTGGGTGAATAGTTTGAGGATTGCCTTTATGGAACAGACAGAGCCCAGTCAGTGACTTAGCTTGACCTTTTCACATGTCTAATATTTTCCATTTGTCACACAAATGTTGCAGAACTAATGAGTTGATAGGTAAATTTTGTGGGGAAACTAGCTTTTATCAATATTAAGCAAAGGGTTAAAGGATACATTTGGTTAAGATCTAAAGGGAGAGTCTATCCTGTGTATTCCTAGTGTAAAAGATGGGGAAAAAAATAGTCACTGGCCACCTTTAGATTATTTCTCGTAGATTTGTAGCACCTTTCATATGCCATTTTCAGAACAATGACTTGGCACTTATGCTTGACTTTGGGCATGGAAAAACACATTCATTTGTGTTTAGTC